ACGAACTATGCACCTCGCCAGCACCCTAAATCCGTGACTGGAACAAGCTTCATCAGACAGCTTTTTTGCATCTTCTAGTTTTCGTATTAATTTCAGCCAACCTTTTTGTGCTTGTTCAAAGTCCTTTTCAAATTCTTATACATTGCACTAGAAATGAATTGATGTTACATTACGAATATTTTGACCGTAAACTAGAAACAAAATTTTCCGTAAACTAGAAACAAAATTTCCATAATTAATTTTCAAACTGCTGGAAATTCACTAAGAAATTTACAGTTTATAGAAAATCGACGTTGAATTTCTATAAATAATTCTCAAGAAAGAAGAAATTTCATTTTGATTTTCTATAAATTGAAAATTCCTTGGGGAGTAAATCCGACACTGGGAAAAACTTATGAAAAAAAGCGTAAATAGAGTCCAGTCTCCTCAGTCTAACGAAGCTTGTTCCAGTCACGGATTTAGGGTGCTGGCGAGGTGCATAGTTCGTACGAAACCTTAAAAAGGTATATAGATGGTGACAAATGTTTAAACCTTTTTTAGCTTCGGTGGAGTACCTTTTCTTTTTAGAGAGCACTGTTTCTACCTAAATCAAAATTTTTGCTGGCATAGGCAGAATTGTGATTTAAACTGGAAACTGTCAAAGTTGATTTAAGTATAGTATTAGTGTCTTTACGTGATGCTCTTACACCTACACTGATTGCAAAACAAAAAAATGAATAAATATTTGGTCTAGAAATTTCCACTTTCTAGAAAATCAATTTTCAGTTTATAGAAAATCAAAAACGAATTTTCAGATTCTTGGGAATTATAGAAATTCAACAATTTGAATATTTCTCGAGAAATTTCTATAATTTTCAGTCAATTTTTCATAAACTAGAAATTAATTCAAGATTACAGTGTACACCTGGTAATTGAAATTCTTAACTAGTAATAATCTTTCTCTTCGTTCTTCATATTATACTCCTCCCCCCGTAATAGAAGCCCCCTTGGAGAGGTCGATGTGAAAAATGTACTAGAAACCCCCCTCATGTGAAAAACATGTTGAAATTGTCGGAAAGTTTTATTAGTATTTCTAAAGTAAAAACTGTCAAATTTTCAGGATTTTAAGGTAAAAAGTAAAAACTCGTTTAAATTTTACATACCAGCATGAGAATCTCGAAATCCCCTTGAATTCCCTTCGAAAAGCTCTGGAAAACCCCAAAAGTTGTTACGAAATTTTTGTACGTAAAATCCTTGAAAAATAGTGGGACCTATTAGAAGCCTCCCCCTAAAAATTTTGAACGCTTGGGCGGTTTAGAAGCCCCTGGGGCTTCTATTACGGGGGGGGACACTTTTTTGGAGCCAGCATTTCATAGTTTTATCGACAGATGCGATAAGTTGCTTGTACGTATTCATTGTTATTCCATTTGTCTACATATCACAACGAATTTACATATTCATACGTAAGACATCATTTTTGGAACCTTTTACAAAAAAAACAATCTGGCAGTATTTGATTTGTTCAGGTTAAAAGTTGTTATTGTTGAAGTTGCTGTAGTTGTGACTTGAATTATGATATTACAGATAGTTGTTCTAACTCTAAATTAGATTCACTTTGTTTCATTTTATTGATAATGCCATGGATGAGACGAATTGTAAAATGAGATGTGTTTGTACACCAATTTTATGCACTATTATCATTATGGTTTTTAGTTGCAGTAAAAAATGTGGTAGATAAGATTGACCTCGACAAATGAGAACGGGTTTGTGTAAGCGTTATCTCTGACGTTAGAATGGTTGAATTGGAAATGAGTTTGTTCTCAATTGAAATAGATGAAAATAGTACATGGGAGTTGTGTAAAATAATGATGAATGCATCGAGTTGATTTTTCTCTATTTTCATTCTCAATTCTTAACAGTGGTAGTGGACAACATTGCTTGTCATCAAATTCTTGTTTATAAGTCTTAATTTGAGATATACCAATTTTAGTGATGTTTATTTAGATGCATCACGTCTAGAATTCTATCACACAATGAGAAACATGACATGATATTATTTATATATTTTTCTATTGTTGCATGGTCAACAACGTACAACAAAAGAGATATAATAATATTTATCACATAAACTTGTAGAATAATCTCCCCATTATTAAACGTCTTTCGATTACGGTAGGTGTACACTTTAGGCATTTCATTGTCCATTTCTTCAATATAAAATTAATTATATTGTTAGTCTTGATAAAAAAAATAACCAAAAAAGGTAATATATATAAAAGTAGAAATAAAAATGGAACATTTTAAATACATTGTCTAAAGACACTGGATTAAGATAGGAAAGCAATGTACATACACATATAAAACTAGAAGAGCGATAAATAGCCTCAAAAGAAAACTGGTTATATCAGTTTAATTCAAAAACTTTGATTAAGATTTTCAAATAAAACTCTGCGATTATATTGACTAGTCTAATTAATCATATGTATTTGAACAAGAAGTTTGTTAAAAGCGGCGACACATATCTTTCACGAAAAACTACATATGAACAAAGCTAAACTAGAACAACATAACGAAAGATACTCTCTAAAAAAGAAAAACTCATAAAAACTCATAGAAAAGTGTTTAGAAAGAGAAAAACTTTTGAAAACAGCAACCAAATCCTCAAGAATTTCAAAATCGTTTTATTAAACCCTCTAGTTTTAGGAAAACATCAAATATCCTGTTGGATTTTCTTACAAAAGCTTTTCTTTTCTGAACTCTTTGTTTCGAGTTTATTTTTAACTACATTTTTCTTTTTTAGAGAGTACGCTCTTACTCGAGATTGCTTTATTAACTGCAGTTCACGTTCTCTGCTATATCTCTCTTCGAATAATAAGATCCTATAAGAACTACGTATTAATTGTCCCTTCAAACTTTGGACCCGCACTACTACCAGTACCGTAAGTGCTATTCCACCATGCTATATCTTTTGTTGAATTATGACTTTCCAACGCTTTCTTGAAATCTGTCGATGCTTTTTCAAGATTTTCTGGTTTGATTCGAAAAAGTGAATCATGATAGTCTTGGAACATTTGCTTAAAAAACTCTAATCTATTTTTCTCAAACTCATGTGTACGATTTAAAACAGTTGTCATATTTTTTTCATACTCCGGTCGAGCATTGTTCATGTCTTCATTTAGTTGATTGAATTTAGATTCTTGAGCGGCGGATTCTTTTTTCAATGTCTCCACTGTTTCTTTTACTTTACGTTTTTGTTCATCCGATACACCCGAATCACTTTGTATGGCTCTATTAGCTGGCTCAGATTTTGTTAATTTTTCTTTCGCTTCATCAGACAGCTTTTTTGCATCTTCTAGTTTTCGTATTAATTTCAGCCAACCTTTTTGTGCTTGTTCAAAGTCCTTTTCAAATTCTTTCACTTTTCTCGTATGTATATATGATTTACTGTAGTTGTCTTTTTGATATTGTGATATTTTTTCAATAACATTTTCAAGTTTGTCAGCTATTTCCGAATGAGTGTGAGAATGTTGTTCACCGGCAATAACTGATGCAAACCACGTTGCTTTATTTGAACCATACTCTTGACATCGTTGAATTTCTTTTTGCCAAGTGAGTGACCACTTTTTTAAGGCACCAATGTAATCACGTTCAATGTTAACTCGTTGTTGAATGCATTTGGTAAATAAACCACAAGAATCAGAGCCATTTTTACAACGCTCAATAGCCACTTTGTATTGGTTTGGCTCAAAAAATCCTTTGCCATACCATGGATTACTAAGTATCCGTTCTGGTGTAGTTTGAGACATTATACATTGCACTAGAAATGAATTGATGTTACATTACGAATATTTTGACATAATGTCGAATTGTCTTTCTTTCAACTAAAAGCTATGTTCACCTCATCATTTATTCAGTGAACACTCTGAAAATATCGTCATTATGAGACACAATGTCTGTATGGTAAGCATCTTTCCGAAAGAAGCAATTGCAAGTCTCTAGCAAAGAAGAGTCTTTGTGAAAGAAAATATGAATAGTGAAAATTAGACAAAAAGTAAAACATCTTTTCTTACTTTTGTCAATTTAAAACTGAATATCGGAAGTACTCAACTTATTGGTGACTGTACATATTGTATGTATATAAGTATGAGTATGGTTTTAGAATATATGGATTCGTACAAAAGCTGAGACACATTACAGTTACACTGAAGTTTTTATACTGCTTTGTTTCTTTCATTTCTCTCACAAAGTTTCTTTTTTCTTGTTTGTTCTTAGAGGTTTGTATAAATTCATCAATAACTCATAAAGATTTTTTATTGGTCGTAGATGCCGGCATATGTTGATAATGAGAGACAAGGTTATTCATTTTTTTCCCTCTTTTTTTTCTTCTTTTGTATTCTATAGCGCACACACACAGATTGTGGGGCTATTTTATTCTAAATTTTTTATTTACTGAATTATTTGATCTCTGCTATTTTCTCAATCCTATTTTCGGCTACAATGAATGGGTTTTTTTGTATGACATGAGTCATTTGAATAAAAAAAATAAAAATGAATAAGATAATATGATACGAAGAGATAAATAAAAAACATGACGCATCTAATTAAGGTTATTCGAGAATATCAGGAATCTTATCAAGTTCTTCTATCATTCACTAGTATATTCTCTCTCTCTCTCTCTCTCTCTCTCTCTCTTTCTCAGGTCATATAATTTGGTTCTCAAAATAATATCTTGTTCATACAAAACCTCGTAAGTCATAAAAAAAACATTTTTAAGTGTATATTGACATAATGAGAAATAAAAATAACTTTATGTGAGAAAATACATCTATTCCTAAAGATGTTGATATGAAAAAAATGTCTGACCAAGAAAAAACAGGGAAAGGAACATTGTAGATTTAACAACGGGTGTACGTTGTATATCTCACCACCAGGTGTAGAGAGAATACACAAGCAAGAGAACGAAGAAAAATACGAAATTATAAAAAAGACGTAAGGATTTGTCATTCATCAATGTCAAACTGAAAATCTTTGAAAAAGCACGAATTTCATTTAATATTTATGTACATATGATTTTTTGTTATGTTTCGCGAGAAAAAAAAGATGAACTTTACACGAGAAGATAAAGCAAAAGTTAATATGATGGACGCTTGGTTAGAGATCTGTTGAATAGCAGATAGAGAAAATGTTGAACTACTGCGTAATTCAGCATCATTGTTATCATTCGTTGATCGTTAGTTTGATGTGTCACTAGAGACCGAAATTATAGATCTGTTCATTTGGGTTTAGAGATGTGCACAGGTACCGTTTTCCTACTCGTACCCAACCAGAAAACTTTTTTCCACTCGTACTCGATCCGAGAACTTTGTATCTGTACCCGACCCGTACCCGACTTATGCCTAAAAATTTTCTCTTTTACGTTTTCACTCAGCTAAAAACTTTTGTTTTCCGGCTGGAGATATCAAGTTATCATTATGCTCAAGTACCTAACTCTTTTAAAACTTAATGTATTTTACCTAAAATCTTGTATTTTTTCACTAAAATTTTGTGGTTTTCCACTAAAATCTTTCGATTTTCGGATAAATTAAAAAACGGGAACGCGTACCCAACAACTTCGTACCCGCACCCAACTTTTGGGTCGGATCGGGTTACACATCTCCATTTTCGGTTCATCTATTATCTACGAATAATAGTATGCTTATATCAGCAATGGCAGCCGCCACCTGGATATTCTTCTTTTGATTTACACAATCTTAAATATCCTAACGATAAATCAAAGACAAAAAAACTGACAAATCATGGCTTGGTCTTTATTTTGTACAGCGAGATTTAACGATTTTCACCAAGCAGGCAAGCTTCCTCCAAGGCTCGAAATGGGACACCTAAATCTATAATTTGATCCGTGGCGATTTTTGAATTTCGCTTCCGTTCATTTCCTACACGTATTTCAAGGCAAACCTCTGAAAATAACCCTAATTCGGCAGAGTATTTGCCACTTATCTCTGCACAGAAAACAAAAATCAAAAATCACCGCGGATCAAACTTTAGATAAATGTCTTAGCTTCAAAATTAAAAAAGAATGAAGGTTTTACGACGAATCGTCTAGGAGTTGATACAACTTTGCTGCGCCCAAACTATATTCTAAGCAATGACGTCATCACTTCATTAATAATAGTTCAGCGCCTTTAGCAAAACTAGTATAACTCTGCAAGACAAAGTCGTGCAAACCTACTGAACATCTCATTCTGATCAGAATACTCTGCTCAACGTAGCTCCAGGTCTGTTAAAACGGACAACCTTAAAAATTTTAATTTAAACGTGAGATTTAGAAAAAGGTGATTTGTAGACCTTTCAGAAATCTTTTTCAAAATCCTCCAAGAACATTGAATTTTTGGCAAACAGAGATGGATTCTGAAAGATGACACTTTGGGATACTGAACCGTATGATTAC